CTGCAGCAGCTTTAAAGTATGCTTATTCATGTGTCAAGGTATAGCTACAATAGTCGGTTTTCTCCTTTAAAAAGGTTTAAATTTGTTTTTAAAACACGAATTTAACATTAAAAAATAAGCTAACCTCAGATATGAATTTGGGGGCGGGGACACCAAACTTTATGGGCCTAAATATGAGGGATTGATGGCGCACTGACAAATAGGATTGAAATCTGAGGCTTCCCGACCAATCAAAAAGTGAGATCTGGGAGCAGGGTCCGCCCACACACGTAATTAAATCCACACCAGCGTGGTGCTGGAACTGTTTGGAGTTTGCGTTGAAACAAGAACGCTGAGGGCTAGGGAGCTGTGCTCAGCCTCGCATCCTTCACGGCCACCTTTAAAAAGGAGAGAGAAAACAAACACGCTCCAGCCCGACAAGTTGTAATGAAACACACTTTAAAGTTTGCTCGGAAGCCGTGGGAGTTGACGTAAAAGTGACTTTTTGAAACTGGAGCTGCTTCCTCCTTCGACAACGGGGTGAAATATCTCAACATCCTCACAAAGAAACTTTGCTTGCTAGGCTGCTAACTCGCCACACAAGCCAGCAGCAAGGAGACCAAAAAAAGTATGCTCAGCGGCGAAGACGAGAACACAAGCTCGTATTGACGTTTTACTGGTCGAGTTATAGTGGTATGTGCTCGGACATGGCCTCTGAATGACTCGCCTTCAGTTTTCTAACGGTTTTTCTTCGAGTAGTCATCACCAGCACCAGAGGAGAAAGAGCCGCAGCTGGTTAACTTTAGCCAGCCACCACCATCACCAGAGCGCCCCCACATCTCTACCAGGCAGGACAGCCACAGCTAATAACAGTCATTTAGAGTTAAGTGGACCCAGATTTGACACTGTAAAGATGTCCGGTCGAAGTGGAGCTGGACACACGAGGGGTGCTGCTTTGGGTCCACAGCCGCTGAAGGCAACTGTCCCATATCAGCTGGCCAGCAAACCGAGACCCAACAGGATAGATGGGAAGCCAGGTATGAGCTCAACACCTTTTTCCACCTTATCCTTTCAAGTTGAAGACCTCACGTAGTGTCACGATAGGTGTAGAAAGCTGGGTGCGAGTTTCTGCAGTCCTGCGCAGTTGCAGAGCAGCTTTATCTGCTAGTTGCCCAGTAGGGCATTTGCAGACTTTAGATAAGATGTTCAAACTTGTGATAGCAAATTCTCAGTAAAAGAGGGCAAGTTGGTAGCCGGATCTAAGCATAATATAAACTGTCTTAATCAGTAACACGAGCTATAAAATATGTTTTT